CCACCATCACATCCTCACCACCCTCACATCCTCACCACCTCACACCCACACGACGCCCACAACCCCCACACCACTCCTCCCCCACACCACCCCCACACCAACAACACCCCACACCACCCCACACCACCCCCACACCACCCCCCACACCCCCCCCCACACCACCCCCACACTCACACCACCCTATCCCCACACCACCCTCACACTCACATCACACCCACTGCACCCTCACCCACAGTACCCTTACACCACAGTACCCTTACACCCACAGTACCCTCACACCCACAGTACCCTCACACCCACAGTACCCTCACACCCACAGTACCCTCACTCCCACAGTACCCTCACACCCACAGTACCCTCACACCCACAGTACCCTCACACCCCAGTACCCTCACACTCACAGTACCCTCACACCCACAGTACACTCACACCCACAGTACCCTCACACCCACAGTACCCTCACACCCACAGTACCCTCACACCCACGGTACCCTCACACCACAGTACCTCACACCCACAGTACCCTCACACCCACAGTACCCTCACACCCACAATACCCTCACAACCACAGTACCCTCACACCCACAATACCCTCACAACCACAGTACCCTCACAAGCACAGTACCCTTACAACCACAGTACCCTCACTGCCACAGTACCCTACCCACAGTACCCTCACACCCACAGCACATTCACACCTACAGCACCCTCACATCCACAGTACCTCACACCCACAGTACCCTCACATCCACAGTACCCTCACAGCCACAGTACTGTCACACCCACAGTACCCTCACACGCACAGCACATTCACACCTACAGCACCCTCACACCCACAGTACCCTCACACCCACAGTACCCTCACACCCACAGTACCCTCACACCCACAGCACTCTCACAGCCACAGCACCCTTACAGCCACAGCACCCTCACAGCCACAACACCCTCACAGCCACAACACCCTCACAGCCACAACACCTCACAGCCACAACACCCTCACAGCCACAACACCCTCACAGCCACAACACCCTCACAGCACCCTCACAGCCACAACACCCTTACAGCCACAACTCCCTCACAGCCACAGCACCCACACAGCCACAGCACCCTCACACCCACAGAATCGTCACGGCTACACCCTCACACCCACAAAATCGTCACAGCTACACCACCCTCACACCCACATCTTCACTGCCACAGCACCCTCACACCCACAACACCCTCAGCCACAGCACCCTCACAACCACAGCACCCTCACAACTACAGCACCGTCACACCCACAGAATCCTCACACTCACAGAATCCTCACACCCATAGCACCCTCGCAGCCACAGCACCCTCACAGCCACAGCACCCTCCACCCACAGAATCCTCACAGCCACAGCACCCTCGCAGCCACAGCACCCTCACACCCACAGAATCCTCACACCCACAGGACCCTCACACCCACAGCACCCTCACACCCACAGCACCCTCACACCCACAGCACCCTCACACCCACAGAACCCTCACACCCACAGGACCCTCACACCCACAGCACCCTCACACCCAGCACCCTCACACCCACAGATCCTCACACCCACAGAATCCTCACACCCACAGAATCCTCACACCCACAGAATCCTCACACCCACAGCACCCTCACACCCACAGAATCCTCACAGCCACAGCACCCTCACACCCACAGCACCCTCACAACCACAGCACCCTCATACCCACGGAATCCTCACAGCCACTGCACCCTCACACCACCACCCTCATAGCCACAGAATCCTCACAGCCACAGCACCTTCACATCCACAGCACCCTCACAGCCACAGAATCCTCATGCCCACAGCACCCTCACAGTCACAGCACCCTCACACCCACAGCACCCTCACACCCACAGCACCCTCACACCCAGAGCACCCTCACACCCACAGCTCCCTCACACCCACAGCACCCTCACACCCACAGCACCCTCACACCCACAGCACCCTCACACCCACAGCACCCTCGCACCCACAGCACCCTCACAACCACAGCACCCTCACACTTACAGCACCCTCACACTTACAGCACCCTCACACCCACAGCACCCTCACACCCACAGCACCCTCACAACCACAGCACTCACAACCACAGCACTCTCACACCCACAACACCCTCATAGTGCCCTCACACATCTAGCACCCTTGCATTGCTCCCTCACGGTGCCCTCATAGTGCTCACTCCTCACACTGATACCACCCACCCTTCACACTGATACCATCCACCGGTCACACTTATACCACCCACCGGTCACACTGATACGATTCACCCTCACCCCTCACACACACCCCACCCATCCCTCACACACACCCCACCTATCCCTCACACACACCCCACCCCTCCCTCACACACACCCCACCCATCCCTCACACACACCCCACCCTCCCCTTGCATTCTACCCTCCCCTCATACCCCACCCTCCCCTATCACCCTACCCTCCCCTCATACATGCCTCACCCTCCCCTCACACCCCCACCTTTCCCTCACACCCCACCCACCCCTCACACCCCCACCCACCCCTCATACACCCCACCTTTCACACCCACCAACCCCTCATACCCACCCTACTGACCCTCACACCCACCTCACCCACCCCTCACATCCTTGCACCCACACCCCTCTCATCCTTGCACCCACACCCCTCTCATCCTTGCACCCACACCCCACTCTCACACCTATGCCCCACCTGCCCACACACAAACATCCCACCCATCCTCACACCCCACCCATCCTCACACCCACACCCCACCCATTGTAATGAGCACCCACACCCCACCCATCCTCACACCCACTCCTCACCCATCCCACCCACATCCCACCCATCCTCACACTGTACCCATCCTCATACCCACACCCCACCAATCATGAGCACCCACACCCCACCCATCTTCACATCCACACCCCATCCACCCTCACACTCACCGCCTGTGCTGAAACTCAGCTGCAAGGTTTTTTTCAATATGAACCAACTCATCAACTGGTTTTTGCACTGTGTTGTCACTTAACCCTTTCAGGGTCCAGAGGCCAAATTTCAGAGTGCGCACCAGTGTGCAAGAATTTTCAAAAAGTAATTTTTTTTTATGAAATGGTAGAGAATCTTTTTCTGAAGGTAATAAAACAAAAAGTACGAAATTTGATGGAAAATGGACGAAATTATGCTCTCACGAATTTTGATGTGTCGGCGATATATACGTATCAGTGATTTTGCTGACTTTGACTCCCATTTTAGGCCAATTACCTTATTCCAGTTGGCCAAATTCTTAGCTATTTCACTAGTATTACTTCTATCGATTGAGCACAAGAAATTGCCAACTCAACAATTTTAACTACAAAATAAAGTGATAGGAAATTGGTAATTTGGCCAATTTAGTGCAAAGTTCAAAATATTCCAATTTCAAAATAGGGTCCAGAATAAACAATGCAGGCATTCCTGGAACTAAACTAACATTTCCTCTGTTCATTAGTTACATTTTCAGTCTTTACAAATGAATTCCATTTTGATTTTTAATTCACATAATGAATTTTTATTCGAACCAAAAAATAAAAGATTTACTGTCATGCAATATTGTAATAATTGTATAAATAATATCAGCACATTTGTGAATGTATGTTAGACCCACTAGCTGGCATGTATTAGACGTGTGAGGTCATTTGTCTACTCTTAAACATCGGTAAAAATTTAACATTTTCGCTACTTTGAGCTCGGTTTCAAGCCATTTTCAGTACTAAAACCAATCAAAATCATCTCTGTCTGTAATATATCTTTCATTCTATCAAATGAGACCAAGAAATCGCAAATACAACTATAAAAAACATACTAGAAAACACGGTCTCAGTTGTTTTTCTCTCATTATGCACTGTGTGCTGCAGGATTTCTTTTATGTGGTGCACACATACCACATAGATGTATTCTCTTGTATCTAGGCCCAAATTTACCGCTCACAGCTTATCAGAGTGAGCTGAGCTTATGGTGTAGATCTACGGTTTGGACCCTCAACATAAAACTGTAGATCTACGGCACGGACCCTGAAAGGGTTAATGGCAGAGATTTTAGGATATGTTGAGAGAGTGTCTTCATAACAGTTTCAGTCACCTCTGTAATTGCAGGAATTATGATCTCACCAATTGTATACGATATTACTTTCTTTGCTATTGTGAGGGAGATATTGTGTGAAGTCTTCAGTCTTCCTGTATTATCAACATTGGCACCTGCTTTGAAAAGTGTCCTTAAATTTGATATTTTTTTTTTATTATTTTTGTTCATTGTCTTCAGATAATCAAGGTCTTCATTTTTCTTTTTAGAGTGAAGCCTTTCAAGGTGGTCTTTTATCACTGAAGGTTTCATGCCATCGTTATTGAAAGTCTTTTCACATAATAGGGAAACAGACATTGTTTCATTGGTAAATAAAGTTACGATTCCAAATTTTAAATATTCTTATGAATACTGTCAACATTTCTTGGTATCAGCCGTTACCATTATGAGTGTTACAATGCTGAATTTATAGTAAATACACAGCAATCAATTCTTTGGCATTACTTTAACTTTGTGTGCTAAGAATGTACTGGCTCTCCAACAGTGGTTGAGGTGAGGGAGTACATTCAGTACTTCCTCACCTCAAATTACATATATGTATATCCTTCCCAGGACAGGAGAGATGAGAGAGACAAGGGGGGATGGTGGAAGGTCACAGATACACAATGCAGAGCACATCCCCAGACATTACTGACATCCCTTTTGACCCCCAGTCATTTATCAACCCCTTCGATAACTCCAGTGACTCTTAGAGGTCAACTTTGACCACTTTAATATGAGGGCACCAATAATTTTTACACCCGAGTATCAATTTTTGTATCTAGCAATTATATTTGTTCTAATAACAGTACAGTACAATTTTGAAGAAATTACCACAGAACTAGAGTAATACAAAATTTAATGCCTTGAATTTATATTTGAAATACTTGTTTTTCAGGCATGTTCTGGTATTGAAGATGTGGGAGAAGCCTTTATGCACCTGGAGGCAGCAAACTGGAACCTCCTGGAAGCACTGCGAGTTGTTATGCCTCTGGAAGGCACACCAGCCACACCTGTACCACCACCTCCACTACAGTCTGTATCACAGGTAACATTTATTGTATTACCTCCACCTGTTCATTGACACTGCAAGTATAGTGTACTTGGTGTGTCTCCTCCATCTGTTTGTCCATTAATAGTAGTAAATGCGAGATAATATTGATTTATAATTTTACAGTGCACTGTAAGTTCAGCATTGCTTTCTAATAAATGCTTGAATATATGAGGCATTGTGTGGCAGCAAAGAACAAGCACCAGCATGAGCTAGTGAATAAATCACTTCCTTAATGTTTTATCCTCCAATTGTCAAACCATTGTTCAATTTACTCATTCTCAAATTATTAATTTTTGTTTTCCTCTCACATTTTGTTACAGATATATCCTCTTTATTAATTTCATTATGTATTACCTTACCTTGTACTTAATAGCATTGTTTTTATTAGATTAACTCAAACTATTTTCCTAAATTGTCTTACAAGTCATGTTGTCACTGACTTCTGCAATCATATTTCTATAAATAATTATACAAACTAAGTACTGGTGAGCCCCACTTATACAACAGGTTAGGTTCTGGGCTACTGCTGTAAAGCAAAAATTGCTGCTGTAAAGCAAAAATTGCTGCTGTAAAGTGAATCAGTTTTTTTTTTTCACTTTCAAATACATATATTAAGTGAGCAATAGAGCTTGGTCTAAAAAATGCATATACGTACAGTACACACATTACTTACCTAAAAATATTTTTGTCCTTAGTGGTGAATATATTTATTGTAGGAAGTCTGAATAAATGAAGAATGGGTGTTATTGAAAACCGCTGCATTAGTGGAATGCCATAAAGCAAAGCACTGTAAAGTGGGGCCTTCCTGTACTGCATACTGATAGATCTACCTCATCCACTACCTTCATAATCCTCCCCCTCCCCCCTAATACTTCATGAATGCTGACTTTGACCCTGATTTAAATCCCCTTCATAATCAATATCTCATTCGGTACCTCTCTGAAAGTAACTGTCTATACCACACAGCAAACCAAGCAAAAACTGTTCTCAGCAGTGCCAGGAAAATATCGGTTGTCAACTACAGTATTATCAAAATCAGAATCAATCAAAATCAAAATTTTATTTCTTTTCATAATTTAATTGGTATAAAAGCCGCTATCACACCAAGGCATTTCGGGCAGACTTAACCTAATACTTATAGGCTACTTAATCCTTTGGCTGTTTCGGTTGTATATATACGTCTTACGTGCCACTGTTTCTGACGTATTTATACGCGCAAATTCTAGTGGCTTCACATCGAGTGGGAGAAAGCTGGTAGGCCCACGTGTGGGAGAATGGGTCTGTGTGGTCAATGTGCACCACATAAAAATCCTGCAGCACGCAGTGCATAATGAGAAAAAAAACTGACCATTTTTTTGGATTAAAACACTGACTTTGAGGTGTATTTTCCTATAGTATTTATCATTGTATTCTCGTTTTCATGGTCTCACGTGATAAAATGGAAAACATATTACAGAAATAGAGATGATTTTGATTACTTTCACGATGAAAATGACCTTGAAATTGAGCTCAAAGTAGAGGAAATGTTCGATTCTTACCAATGTTCAAGAATAAACAAATCACACCACACGTCCAATACACTTCAACTGGGGAGTCTAATGTTCTTTCACTAATACACTGATATTATTTATACCATTTTTACAATAATGCAGTAGTCTGCATAACAGTTAATTTTGTATTTTTTTTGTATGAATAGAAAATCAAAATAGAAAGCAATAGTAATATAAGAGGGGCCTAGAGACGTGACTAATGAACAGAGAATATGTTATTTTAGTACCAAGAATGTCTACATTGTTTATTCTGGACCCTATTTTGAAATTGGCATCTTTTTTAATTTGCGTGAAATTTGCCAAATTGCCAATTTCTGACCACTTTATTGGGTAGATCAAATCGGTAAATGGACGGTTTCTTGTACTCAACTGATAGAAAAAATGGAGTTCTAAAGAAATAGCTATGAGTTTGGTCAACTGGAACAACGGAATTGGCCAAAAACAGGGCTCAAAGTCGGCAAAATCGCCAATGCTTATATGTCGCCGAGACCACAGACTTCGCAGGAGTGTAATTCCGTGAGTTTTCGACCAAATTTTGTACTTTTGGTGTCATTACCATCAGGAAAAGATTCTCTATCATTTCATAAGAAAGAATAATTTTTTTTTTTTTTTTCAGAAAAATTATCGACATGGAATGAGTTTCAGAAAGGGGCCTACGACAGTCAAAGGGTTAAGTCTAGACAGGTGAAGAGTGGTAGAATACAAATATTCAATATTTTATTAATATGAAGTAGTACGATTTATGATACAAATATACATTTTTAATTTTGTTTACCCTATTATTAATATGAGGTAGCACTATTAATGATGCAAACATACATTTTTAACTGTAATAATGGCTTAATAGTTAAGGGATAATAAAATATTTGGGAGAGTTGCTTTAAATTTGATTAAAGTTTAGCATAGTGTGGGTTTGATTGTTATTGAGAGATGAGATGGTTATGAAAGTATACAGTGAACCCTTGAATTTCGTGATTAATCTGTTCCAGAGAGTTTGCCGAAATTCAAAATTCACGATTTTCAAAACCATTTTCCCATGAGAAATAATGTAAATCAAATTAATCTGTTCCAGACACCCAGCAGTATTAAATTTTTTTTTTTTTTTTTTACATTCAGTGTGCATTTATCTACACAGAAAACAATGAGACATGACACTTAACCTTTATTGAAGTGTTGTTGATGTATGGAAGATGGGAGGAGGGGAGAGGATGGAAAAGTTACTATTGTTTGGAAGGGGAATCCCCTTCCATAATGACTATCAGTACCAAGTCTTCTGGGGTTACTTGCCTTCTTTGTTTTTTAATGCCACTAAGACCAGCTTGAGAGTCACTGGACCCCTGTTGCTCAAAATATTGCTTTTGAAAGGTCTGTTTCTGGCGTTTCTTTAAAATTTGCCTAAAATGAGACAAGACATTGTCATTGAATGTGTCGTATACACGGCCTGCAACAGCTTTGTCAAGGTGATGTTCCTCCACAAATCTTTCCATCCTAGTCCACATTGCACACATCTCCTTAATCTCTGAAGAAGGCAATTTCTTCCCTCTCTTCCTCCTCCTCTGAAGCAATTTCCTGAGCTGTGGTCTGTTGCTGTTGCAGATTAAGGTCTAGCAGCTATTCAGTGGTTAGCTTGTCCTTGTGGTCCTCCACCAAATTCTTCCACATCCTCGCCACTAACCTCCAACCCCAATGACTTCCCTAATGCCACAACAGATTCCACAACTGGCATAGGGTTGTCAGGGTCAGCCTCAAACCCTTTAAAATTTTTGTTGAGGACACATTCTGGCCATAGTTTTCTCCCAGCAAACTGGAAGTCACTCCCTACCAAGCCTTACCTTTAAGGTTTATGCAATGGAGGATATTGAAGTGATCTTTCCAGAACTCTCTTAGGGTCAGTTCAGAATCCGAGGTTATGTTAAAGCACCTTTGAAACATTGCTTTGGTGTAGAGTTTTTTAGTTTGAAATGATCTGCTGGTCCATGGGCTGGAGGAGAGGAGTGGTATTAGGGGGCAAGAACTTCACTGTGATGAAATTAAACTCCTTCACCATTTGCTCTTCCAAGTATGGAGGATAAGCGGGAGCAATGTCCATTACCAGGAGGCATTTCATACGACCGCCGATTTCTAAGCCAAATCACTAAAATCAACCCAATATTTTGACGGAAAAGGTCACCGATTTCCAAAATTCACAATATTCAAGGGGGACGAAATGCAAGGGTCCACTGTAGTCTTAAATTGATTTGTGGGCAGGGAACCTCTTGCTGTTTCAGACAAAGAGTTCCAGATCTTCGGGCCCTTTATGTGCATTGCATTTTTGCATAGTGTGAGACTAACACGAAGGATGTCAGTGTTTTGTGCCTTGTGTCATGCCTGTGTGTTCTGCTGAATCTGTCTAAAAGTTTGAATGGAGGGTTGATACTGGGGTTAAATGTTCTGTATATACAGTGGACCCCTGGATTGCGATATTAATCCGTTCCTGAGAACTCATTGTAAACCAAAATTATCGAAAAGCGAATCAATTTTCCCCATAAGAAATACTAATGGAAATCAAATTAATCCGTGCAAGACACCCAAGAGTATGAAAAAAAAAAATTTACCACATGAAATATTAAGTTTAATGCACACAAACTGATGACGATGTGCACAGTTTGTAGTACTCTGCTAACAATAGAATACATGACACTTACCTTTAATGAAGATCTGGTGATGATTGATGGGATGGGAGGAGGGGAGAGTGTCGAACTTATTGTGTATATTTTGTATATTAATTAAGTTCAAGCTTTTAAAGAGTGGTGGGGTGTGCTGTCTGCTGCTGGAGTTTGTGATTATCTGCACCGCGGCTGTTTGTTGGGTTATTAACCCTTTCAGGGTTTCCGATGTACTAGCACAGCTTACGCGCCAGGGTTATTAACGTACTAGTACGCGTAAATTCTGGCGCCTTCATTTCAAGTGGGAAAAGGCTGGTAGGCCAAGATGTGAGAGAATGGGTGTGCATGGTCGGTGTGCGCAGTAGAAAAAAAATCTGAGACCCAGTGGTGCATTGTGGGAATGCCATTTTAGTATACCTTGTTCACCATGCCTCACGGTAAGAACTCCTCACTCCTCGGCGAATTGGGACACTTTTGTTCCCCAGTGACAGTTCTAAGGTTTTCAAGGTTTTGACGAGGTTGTGACTGAAACTAATGACCATAATACCGGTAATAGTGAGGAAAACCCAGACGACCCTCAGCCTTCCACCTCTGCTGCTGGGCCATCTTGTTCATGTTCAGTTGTACCAGAAAGAAAGAGGAAACTCCTATTATCCCATATCCCGGACTCAGATGTGAGCATTGGTGGTGATAGTGATAGTGAATATGAACTACAAGCTCTTGAAAACGGTTCCAGTAGCGATAGTGAAGTGGAATATTCTCCAGTGAAGCGTCAGTATATACAACGGTATATGTGCTC